AGTTAAAACCTGAGAAGAATGTGAATGTGACCTCTTCTTTCAGAGGCTTAGAATCTCACAATGGCTCCGCTTTCGCTCCTTAGGTTGCCTAGCAGGCCCTTCTAGTTCTGCCTTCCTCCCTGCCCCCCTCCAATTTTACCTGCCCTCCTGAGCGACATCACTTTCTCCTCCTCCTACCCCAGGCCCTTGCACACACAACTGCCTCGGGCCAGATCTGACCTTGGTAACTCAGCTCTGGCACCACCCCTTCCAGGAAGCCTTCCGGACTCTACTGGAGGAGGCACCTCCTTTAGCTCTCCAGCCCGAATTTACAGCTCAGGGCCGGGCTGAACACCTGATATGGTTATTATTTACCTGTCTGCCTTTCCCAGAGAGACGGTGTGTCATTCTTGGGGTGTCCCAGTACCCTGTGCTGGGCAGGCACAAGGGAGAGGCTCAGGAAATGTTTACAGAGGAGTGAACCGACCCGGGGCAGGATACCCATGTCTCTTGACCCGTGACATCTTTTTCAGGGCTAGGCCTTAACAGGAGCCCCTTACCGCCCGCTGTCTGGCCAAGTCAGGGGTGGGGATGAGGCGAAGTCCTATCAAGTGAGGCCTCAAGGTTAGGGGCTGGTCACCCCCGTCACGTAGGAGGGTTTGTGAGTCTTTAACTGGAGGATCGGTGGGGGGCCCGTGGGTTGCTCATTGAACTGGAGAGCTGACCTGATTCAGAGGCTGTCAAAGGGGCCTCAGCCCTTCCTCGCCCCCCGGGGACCCCAGGCTCTGCAACACCAGATTCAGGACTGATCTTGGTGGTGTCTCCTTCTTACACCGCCCCCCTCCCACCCCCAGCCGTCCCTCCCAGCAGATCCAACCACATGTCTCTGAATGTAGTAAGGGGACTTGGCGGGGGGTGGGGGAAGGGGCGTCAGGCCCTGCGAAGCCCCGCGTATAGGAATGGATGCAGGGGCGCCTGCGACCTCCGCTGTACCCGCGGTCGATCCGGGTTTACACGGAGGCTCATCCAGGATTAGTCCCTGCGCTCAGCTAATCCCAGCCGCTGAACCGACCCCGGGGTCGAGGAGCCGGGCCTACTCGGTGCGGGCGGGGGTAGGGGGAACGCGGGCCGAGCGAAAGCACACGGAGGGAGGAGGGGGGTAGGGGGGAGGGGCGCCCCGGGAGGAGGCGCCGGGAAACCGGCTGATCCGGTCTCTGTTCTTCGACCTCTCCCCAGCCGGTGTTTACCCGGGAGCCGGACGGAGGTGGCCGGGGTCGCTCGGGCCCGGAAGCAGGGGGAGGGGAGCGCAGTCGGAGACGAGGGTGAGACCTTTTCAGGTCCCCTAAATCGACCTCCAGCCCTGGTTCCTGAGCGTGGGAGAGAGAGCGACCGACAGATGTCTCCCGCCCCTTTTCCCTTCAGTTCCGCAGTTCATACTTGTTGCCAAATGAAAGGGGAACAGGAAAGGATACCAGCCCCTTGGAAGAAGGCAGCAGCACAGCGTACCCTTCCCCAGCGCGCCTCATCGCCGGCCCCATCCCTAGCCCGCACCTCCGCTCCGGGTGGGGCCCTGCAGGGCGGGCACAGCGCAGCGGCTGGGGGAGGGAGGCACTTTGACATGCACGGAGTAGGTGTCTGTCCTCGGTCGGCGTCCTTTTGCCCCCCCCCCCCATTCCGGAGTGGCACCGATTCATCCCAATGGGTCTCGGTCCCTCTTCTCTCGGCCGCGTCCCCTGGCCCCCTCCAAGGCCTCTACCCCAGACTTAGCCCCCCTTCTCCCGGGGACGCAGGCCTGAGGGCCCGGAAGAAGTGAGGTGGGGTCCGGTTTTCACACTTTTATTGTAAAGCTCGGGAATAATTACACGGGTCTTCCATTGACAGCTCAGCAAACAAACCGGAAACGAACCGAACCGGAGGGGGTAGGGGCGGTGCCTGCGCATGCTCGCGGCGGGGGAGGGGGGAGGTCAGAGAAAGAGAAAGACAGAAAGAGACAGAAATCATTACAAATCAACGGGATTGTGCTCGCAGCGCCAGGGATGGGGCGGAGTGGGGGAGAGTGGCTGCGGGGCGGGGGCCCTTCCCGGGAGGAGCGAGGCGGTGGGAAGTGGCACGAACCAAGAGAAACACGACCCCAGTGTGGGCACCCGACGAGCCCAAAACCCCCCTCCCCGAACCCCACCCCCCAACACGCGAGAGAGACACGGCCCCCCTCCCCACTCAGATAACCCGAGGAGACACAGTCTCCTTCTCCCCAACGGGCAGACACACCCGCCCGGGAACCCCATGGGCGAGACACAGTCCCCCCTCCCAGAGAAGTCCCGCGGTGGAGACGCCCCCTAAGAGACTTTCTCATGGCCGACATAAGCCTTCCCAACACCAGGAGATAGCCCACACCCAGGGAGGAAATGGCTCCAGAGGCCGGATCCCCAGGAGAGAGGTTTCCCAGAGCCTCCAGGAGAAAAGACAACTCAGAGCTGCCCAGTCTCATCCCAAAGTGCTGCAGGTCAGAGACACCCCCAGAGGAGAGATGCAGGGAGGGCCAGAAACATCCCTTCCCAGACATGCTTCAGAGATAGCCCCCTTCCCTGGGAAGAGAGATGGCCCAAGACTGACATGCCTTAAGTACTCCCAGGAACCCTGGGAGGAAAACAGGCTCCCCAGAGAGCCTGGGTAGGGGGGAGACATGCTCCCATGGTCCCCAGAGGGAATACATGTCCCTCCAGAGACTCCCAAAGGGAGAGAAAGGGCCTAGGGAGCCCCCGGAGGTGAGAGATGCCCCAGAGACCCTCCCCCAGGGATGTGAGACACGCTTCAGGGACCCCAGGAGAGAAATATGTCCCCATAATACCCTCCCCCTACCAAGAGACATGCTCTGAAGTAGGGAGTTGGGGACCAACTAGGTCCCCTCTAGGAAGACACTGACTGGGTCAGGCTGGGTTTGAGGGGGGTCTCCTCTGGCCAAATGTCGCCCATTTGTACATAAAACTGTACGCGACACAAGGCATAGGGGAAGGGCTTCACAGACCTAGGACCAACAGGGGTGGTCCCCAGTGCTGTCACCCGTCCCCTGCCCACCTTTGGTTTCACCTCTCGAGTGCCCAGGTGGTGACAGACTCGGCGCCCTGACCCCAACCAGGGGGCTGGGACTCTGCCTTCGCCTGTAGGAAGGGCTCCTCCTCTGTGCTTCTCAGCCCTCCCAGCCATCTGGGCTACCCCCTTCCTTCTGGCTTTTCCATTGTGCAAAATGCTCCTCTGCCCTTCCACTCAGTGCTCAGGGGTCTCCAAGACCAGGGCAGGGTGCCCAGGCCACCAGGGGCTTCCAGGGGAGTCCACTGACTCCAGGAATGCCTCCTGTCTGGACCACCCTCTCCACCAAGCAAATGAGCCTCATACAATCTTCTTGCCAGAACCCTGACCTCCAGGACCCAGGACAGCCCTTGAGGCCACTGCCCCACCAGCTGGGCACATCATGTTACCAACTCTACCACTATTGCACCTGCCCTGTTTGTGCGGGGGGAAGGGGGCTGTCTCTTTATCAAGCCCCCAGCCCACTTGTGGGCCTCCCCCAGGGAAAGGAGCCTTTGGCCAACCCCCAGACCTGGTTGCTGCCACCCCAGCCCACTCTACCTTCTGCCCTCAATAGAAGGGCTGTGTATGCTGAGGCTACCAGCCTGACAATGCTCTCCTTCCCAGCACTGTTACCCCAAGCCAAGTTAGGGGCAAGGAGCAGAGAATAGGGTGATTCTTCAGGCCCCTGGCTTTCCCGAGGTGGAGTGGGGTCTCTGGGGTTACAGGAGTCCAAGACCCCAGCAGCACAGCTCCCAAAGGCACCAGACGACCCAGCAGCCTGTACCCACCCCTCCCACCCTTGGGCCGCCCCCCAAGCTTAGACTAAGTCAAGCAAGGGCCATACCCTGAGTCTCCAGCCTCCCAGCCTGGGCCCCTTGGGGAGCTGGAGAGGTATGGGCCAAGGCAGTGGGGGTTTCTGGAAGGAAGAGGGACTGGGGCTTTGAGATGGCCACAGTGGGAGATGAGGGCTCTACAGGATGCCCCTCACACCCTGGCCCCCTGAGGTGCAGAAAGGAATCCCACCTCATCATGGCTGACTGGGCTTCTCTGCCCCCCAATCTCCCCACACCCTCCCCCAGGGGACCCCTGACCCTGGCAAAGGGAAGCCCAACTGGAAGAAGGGGGCCTGGAGCCCAGGGTGCCCTGAGGCAGCCCTTCCCACCCCCTGAGATCAAGGCAATGGTGGTTTTACAGGCTGATGGGTCAGTCATGGCAGGGGCGGGGGGGGGGGGGGGGGGCAGGGAGGGGGCAGGGTGCAGGTTCCCCCTATTAGAGGCAGCAACCAGCCACCCCTTGAGCAAACCTTCCTGCTCCCAACTCACCCAACCAGGCCAGAGGCACAGTCATCCCACCCCTGTCCAGCTGCCCCCCACAGCCTCAGGGCCCCTCTGTGATGCTCATCTGGATGTGGGGGGCCAGCCTGAGCGGGGATTCCCCCCCCAGGGCACAGCGCAACAGTTCCAAAAAAATAGAGATTTGTATTTTTAAAAAAAATTAAATAAAAGCCCAGCTCTGCTGATAGGCGAATGTTACCCCCATCCCCACCCCCACCCACCCATTGTTTCCCTGGCCTGCACCCCCATCCCACTACGGCCCCAGGGGTATTTACAACATGGAACAGTAGAGGCCTGGGGTGGGGGGCACTGCGGCAGGGAGGAGGGGGCACAGGGCAGCCTCCCCCCCCAGAGAGGTCCCCCAAGACAACACAACATCAACAAGAAAAGTTGCAAATCAGGCAGAAATGGGGACATCATTCCAAGGTCCTTATATACAGACACTGCATGACCAGCAGGGAAGGGGGCTGCCCAGATGGGATCAGGCATGGGCATGTGGCAGGCAGGTGGGCCAGCCCAGGAGCAGTATAGGAAGACAAGGCCTCCGCCCCACTCCCACCCCTATCCCCACCCCACCTTTGGTAACAAAAGCCCTTCAGGGAGCCCCTGGTGGTCAAGAGTTTCCTCAGGGAGTTCCCAGGGAGAGGGGCTCCCCAGTTCAGCCCTGAAGCAGGGCTGGAATGGGGACATCCTGTCTCCGCCCTGGTCGGCCATGTGGGAAACAATGAGTTAAAAGTGTGTCGTCCACCCTTGACTCCACCATCTGCCCAAAGTGAGGGGGTGCTCCCTGGAAGTCGAGGGAAGGGAGCCTAGTCATTGTAGAGGAGCCCTCTTGGGCACCAGCTGAGGGGGAGCCCCATAAAGGGGAAGAAAGGCTCCCAGGGGCTGGGGGATGAAGTGAGGAGAGAGGACCTGGACCCTGCTTGGGGGAAGGGCCTGTGTGGGTCATGAGGCCGGTACTCACCCCCACTTGGGGCCCTGGCCGGGAAGTCCACGCTGAAGGGGTCAGGAGCAGGACCCTGGAATGGGCCCAACTCAGACCTGGCCGGTGGCTGGGGAAGGGGCATGGCCACCGGCCAGAAAGGGGCTCACAGGTAGATCTCGCGCTTGGCTGTCTGGGCAGATGCCGGTGTGGCTGCAGGTGGGAAGTCCGAGGTCTGGGTCAGGGGGATTTCCTCCAAGGTGGCCGAGTCCTTGCAGGAATCATGGCTACTGTGGGAGAAGGCACTGTAGGAGGGCAGGAGGCGCACGGGGGCCGTTTTGGTGTTCCGGTCTTCCGGGGGGCTGGGGCTGCCGGCGCCCACAGGCTCCTGCCCTCCTCGGTCCTGGTAAGGCACGAAGGTGGAGAGTTTGAGGGCGCTGCTCTTGGTCCGGCGGCTGGGAGACGACTGGCCAGGCATCCAGCACGTGTCAGAGTGGCCAAACTCGCTGCACTCCTGGGTACATGTGCCTGTCATGGCAACATCAGGCAAAGGGCGCAGGTCTGCACAAGAGAATGGGGAGGACGGTCTTCAGCTCCACCCCAGGGCTTCCCACAGGCACCTACACCCTGCCTCAGAACAGGGGTGCACGCCCCTTTTGCCCACTGAGTTCGCGGGCATACACACCCGCAAACAGACACTCAGCCTTCTACCATCCACCACAGACTCTTCTCTCTCAGACAATCTATCCTTAAATAGATGCGGTCCTCCATCCTCAGCCACCCTGCAGCTCTCCTATCAACACACCCACCAAATCTACCCTCAGACAGGTGCACAAACACACAATCCATCTACGCACTCCCTCATCTATCTCCAGACAGCCTTAAAGAAGCAAACCTATCCTTAGGGGGTGAGGAAACCCCCATCCTCACTTAAGGGCACAATATCTCTGTCAGCCACACACACACACACACACACACACACACACACACACACACACACACACACCCCTATCCTCAGATAGGCATGGACACACAAATCTACACTGGGCTTCTCCATCCTCAGATGAAGGTGGGCCAGTACCTTCCTTCTGAACCCCCTCAAGCCTCACCATGCTCGTAGCTGTCTGGGAACCCCACCCTACCCCAGCACAGTGACCCCTTGCTTTTAAAGCCAGGGAGAGGGGATGAGCTTCTGTGTGGGGAGTTCACAAGCACACTCATGCAACCCCTCCCCACCTCACTCCAGCCCCCTATGCCAACCACCACCCCTGGCCTAGCCCCGGCTCCCTGCCCAGAACACCCACGGGAATAGGAGTTGGCCGCCTGACATCAGTAGCCGGTGTGGTTGCTGGGCAGCGGGGGTCTCCATGGGAACGGCTGGGCCATGAGCACTTCCTGTCATAGTTGCCCCTGTCCTGCCCTTGCTCAGGGACAGTACCAGGCGGTGACCCTCCCTCAGGGACACGACTGAGCCTCACTGCCTGGGGCAGGGGCTCCCCTGATACCACCCACCCTGGCCTGGCCTCCTGCCAGTGCAAGGTGAGGAGGGGACAGCTCTGTCGTTAACCCTCAAGGCACCAAGGCTCTTCAGCTCAGGGTTGGAGGACCCAAGGTGGCATAGAGCAGAGCAGGGGCACTGGGTGGGCGGGGCTGGGTGCTGGGCCAAGTCCCACAGACCCCAGACCCCAGAGCAGCTCCCACATACCTGGCACTCCGCCTCAGGGCCTGCTCCGGCCAGCCGGCTCTGCGCGGGCACAAAAAGGACGAGACGGGCATGAGATAGAGCATGGAGGGGCAGGGTGGGGTGGAGGGCACTCTGAGACCTAGGGCCTGGGATGTTAGACAAGGGCCCTGTGCCTGAGGGGTGGGGAGTGGAACTTTTCATCTGCTTTGTGGGGGGCGGGGGGGCAGTTTGGACTAAGGGAGGGGGCAAGACCTGAGGACAGCTCCAAGCAGCAGTCTTTCAGTCCCAAGGGGAAGCTTATTCATTCTCCCCCTTCAGAGGCTACCATGGATGCCTTCACACACACACACACACACACACACGCACGCACGCACGCACTACACCACACAAACATTTTGAAAGCACACCCACTATCCATTCCCACACTGACCTCTGCTCTGGCCCAGACCTTCCTTCTGCCATCACCCTTCAAACCCCGCCCAGACAAGCCTTTGCCCTCCCCAGACCACCCCACTCCCTTTCCTCAGCCAGACCCTCTCTGGCTCCTCCCCTCAGGGGATCATCAGACCCTTTTCTGAGCTCCTCATAGCTTCCAGGGTCCCCTCCCTTTTCTCAAGGCCCTCTGACCCCATTAAGGGACCCTCATGACCTCAAGGGTCCCTCAAGTTTCCCTCACCACTGCCTGAGCCCTCTGGCCATGGTTCTCTCGGTCCCTGTTCCCAGGAAGGTGGTATAATGTGGTCCTGAATGCAAGGTCTTTGGAGTCAGAGAAGCCTGGGTTTGAACCCCTCCCAGCTCTGTCACTTCCTGCGTATTACTTTGGGTAAGTGACTCAAGCTCTGAGCCTCCCGTTCCCACACTGTAAAGAAAAGAGTCAAGTTCTCAGACCAGAGAGTAGTTGTGAGGATTAAATGAATACATAGCTGAAAGCACTCAGCACAGTGACGGCCGCTGAACACACAAGAGCACAATAAATGGAGGATATCGTTAAAGTCACATCACCATTCTCAGCTTCTACCTGTGCCCGGGGTGCCCTGACCATGCTGCAGCTCCTCACCATTCTCGGGGTGCTCCATCTCTCCTATGCTGCCATCGGGGGTGGTGCGCTCATAGTGATCCTCAGGCAGAGCCAGGGGACCGAGTCGGGGTCCCGAGGATGACTTGCTGGATGGCGTCTCAGACTCCTCCAGGCCACTGTCATAGTAACTGTGCTGGGACGGGTCCTGCAGCTCTTGGGCCTGACTGGTGGCGGAGAAGGTGACGCGGCGGTGAGGTAACTGCAGGGAGAAGGGGTGTCATCGCTGGAAGGCCAGCCTGCCCTGGGTGGGGGCGGGGGGAGCCCACCACCAGAGTCAACCCCAGCCCTAGCCAGGCCCTCCCCAGAGCTCCCGGCCCCCCAGGCCTCAGCAGCAACGGAGAAGAGGCCCAGCCCCGTAGCACAGCAGAGCCCACAAGAAAGCGCAGACCCCAGTGGAGAATTGCCCCTTAATTCTGGGACAGCTCCCCAGAGAGCCAAGGCCACACACTGCAAGTCCCACCACAGCACAGGCCCCAGGTTTATTATAGCCCCCAGGCCACCACAATAAGCCTAATCCAATACAACCACTTGTCATAGCACAGCTTCCCAGTATTGGCACAGCCTTTAATTCCAGAACAGCCCACACCAGAATAGCACAATACCAGCCACCTCCCCTAATTCCAGCATAGCCTCAATCACGAGCAAGCGTCGGATTTCTAGAACAGCTTCCTCAAAGCAGTATGAACTCCTCATTCCAAAACAGCTCACCAATACCAGTACAGTTCCCTAATTTCCAAATAGCACCCCTGAACTTCAGCTCCTCACCTGTCTCATTGCTCTTTAACTTCCCATTGCCTCCATCCAAATGAGATCCCCATGTCTTTCTGATCCTCTGTTCCTACCCCTGCTGCGTGATGCTGTAGGCAGCCTCGGGACTCCCTGCTGCGTCCCCTCCCACTCGAGCCCCTTTGTCCCCACTTCATCCCCCTCCGGAGAGGCCTGGCAGTGGAAAAAGGTGGGAGGGAAGAAGGAAAGGGAGCCCGATAACAAACTGATAACAAGGATAACAAGATAACAAACCGGAGCCCCTTGGGGGTGGGGAAGCAGAACAATGGAAACTCCCCCATCCTCCAGATCAGGAAACAAGAGTATTAACTGTAGAGGGCATAGGGGGAGGGCCCTGGCATTCATCAGCAATTGGGAAGGCTGGCCTCAAAGGGAGACTCCTTCTAGGAAATAGGAAGGAGCTTCTGGGAGGGGCTGCAGCTTGGTGGAGCCAGGACTGAGAAGCTTGGACTGGGGGGTTGGGGTGGAGGCAGTAGAACTGGGGCAAGCTGCTCCCAGCCAGCAGCCCTGTGTGCCTGCCACGGGTTAACCGTCCTCCCAGAAACCTGGCAGCCTCAGCTTGGCACTTGGCACAACCAACCAGTCACCCAAACACCCACCTGGGACTGCCACTGATTTTCCTGCCATCCACAAATTAGAGGAGTTGTGGAGGGTGTAGACCCAGGGCCCCTGGAAGCCTGGGGTGGGAGCAGCTCAGGCCCAGGACCCTCTTGCTGCTGAGTCTCCAGGCTCCCTCCAATCCTCCAAGACTTCACGGCTGCTTTGTCTTTACTCTGAAACCCTCAATAGGATGTTATCAAGGCCAGAAGAGGGGATCCTGGGTTTGCAGACCCATCCTCCTGATACCTTCCGATCCATCACAATCTTCATTCCATTCAAGGGAGCTGGGGTGGGGGAGGTTGTCAGGACGAGGAGCTCTTAAGCTGTTGGGAAGGCGGCTCAGAACTGCCTTCCCATCTTGGCTCCCACCTCGTCTTCACGAACAGGCAACCCTTCTTGGGATCCATGTTGTGATCCAAAACACCAAAGGGTCTGGGTGATGACAGACAAGGTCCCCAAAATTGACCTGGGGCTGGGATGTGGTAAAGGAGCATCGGCTACCTGGTCAAAGTGAGCAGTCTCCAGTAGGGGTTTGTGAGGCACCGGGCAGTCTGGTGCTTCTCTTGCCAGTTTTCTCCAAGATGGTAGCCAGCAGCCCTCCGTCCCCCCAAAACCTACACCTGGTCATCTAAAGCTTCAGTCCTGCCTACTAGGCATGTCACTTGGGCCCTTTTTCCTGTAAAATGGAGGGTCGGGGCATACTCAACCCTAAACATTCCCTATCATTCTATCACTATCAGATCTTAAAAAGCCTAGATCCAAAATCTCTCTGACCTCTGCTTCTCCTCTGACTTCTGAACTTCTGAAGTTCTAGACATTTGCTGGGTATTTCCTATCGGCTATCCCCACTGGCCCTTCAGATTCAACAAGTCTGAAACCAACTTCTTCTTTTTCTTCAATCAGCTTCTGCATGGGCAATGATATCGTCACTATGCCATCACCCAGACACAGAAGGATGATGTCTACCTGGGAACCCTGGGAGCTGTCATACTCATTCCCCAAAATCCCCACCCTATATCCAATCATCCTTTGAGTCCTAGAGGTCGTTTCTCCCCAAGTTTAGCCAAATCCATCCATCATCCATTGTCCCCATGGCCACCATCTTAGTCTAGACCGTAGAGTTTCGATCCTGTACTTTCACCTCTACCCCATTTATATCCACCATATGCTCTGGTGAACTTTCTAAAACTCAGTTCATCCAAAACTCATGAGCTTCCAGGGGCTCCCATTTCCTGTTAGGGAACTTTTGGCGAGGCATCTGTGACCTCTACAACCTCCAGTTCGTCCAATCTCATCTCTCAGCTCTCTCCTATACCCTCCACTCCAGCCCTCACGCTCCCCTTTCTGCCCTCTTCCTGTCCCCAACTTGGCCATGCTCGCTCCTGACTCAGGAGCTGACTTACTCTGTTGAACCTCTTGCCCAGCTCCTGCTCATCACTGAAGAGCTGGCTCAGATTTGACATTTTCCTTCCAGGAGCCCACTCCCATGTCCTATGCATGTTTTCCCACACTGTGTTCCTCAAAGAAAGGGAGGAGGCACTATGGTCAAATAAGTTTGGAAAACCCAGAGTGATACAAAGTTTAACAGGTCTCCCCCCTTTCTTGCAGGCTTCGCGGAGCCTTTAATGGGCTAATGTGATGGTGCATCTCTTACTCCCCAAACTGACTTAATCAGGCGATCCCTCTTACAAAGCATTATGGATAACAGCAGACTCTGGAAATCACATTTCCTGATGCCTTGTGTTTGAATTCTGACTCCACCACTAACCAGTTTTCACTTCTGGAAAATGAGCATGATAATGACCTATGTCACAAAGAGTTATGAGCATCGAATGAGCTAATCCACATAAAGTGCTGAGTATGGTCCATCGCACCTTGGGGAAGGAGTAAAAAAAAAAAAAAAAAGAAGAAGAAGAAGAAGCACCTAGTAGCAGAAGGAATAGTGGAACCACCAGCTGGGAAAAGCTTCACTATGGCATTTCCCACGCCATGTTTAAGATGCTCAATTGCCTCATCTTTTCACTCGTGTACCTCGTAGGAATATGACCATTTCCCCTCAGCGTCTAGCACCATGCTGATCACACAGTAGGAACTTGGCCTATGTGTTTTGATGATGACAATGGTGTTGTGGTTTGGTTGTGTCTGAATGTTGGGAGGAGGTGTTCAATGTGGCTCCATGGATGTGTTGGGTTGCAGCTGAGTAAGGGATAATCCCTCAGACCCTGGGAAAGAAAAAGACATGAAGAGGCTAAAGGGATAGAAGAAAGAGCGACCTGGCGGCAGCAAGCATGGAAACAAAGGAGAAAGAATGGTTGGTCAGGAGTTGCTGGTGGCCCCCTAGAGATGCTTATTTGTCCAGGAGAAATGAGATGCAACTAGATTTCACTTGCCCACGTCCCACTCCTCCAAAGCCCCCAGGAGTGTTTACTTTGGGGGTACCCCCAGGGCACTGGGGAGTTTGTGAATGGAATCAGAGTAGAGAGCTGGTGCCTTGGGACCTCCTGGGAGTGTCTCAAGCCTCTTCAGTCGCCACGGAGACACGCTGCCTCTGGCCTCAGAGACTCCCCTATGACCTGAGGCCCCTCACCCAGGCTTTAGCCCCAGTGCCCCTCAGGCACAGCCGGAGACAGGGCAGACCCCGGAGAGCAAGAAGTGAGAGACGGAGAGAGAGAGAGTGAATGAGAGCCAGTAGCCCAGGGGGGCCAGTGCAAGGAGCTGAAGGAGGGAAGGGAGGAGGGGCCGGGCTAGGGTCCCTCAGCCTCAGTCAGAAGGGAGCACCCCAAGAGTAGGGATCCAGAGCAGGCCAACCCAAAGAACTTGAGGATTCCCTCCCCCTCCCTGGGCCCTCCCTCCCAGTAGCCCAGGCTGATGATCCTGGCGGGGACACAGGGCAGGGCCCAGTAATTGCTGGGCATTGAGTGATGTTGGGATGAAGGAGCTGGGAAAGGGACTTGGGAAGATCTTGCCCCAAGGGAAGGTGGCTGGTATAATCAAGGACTTCTCTGCCTTCACCTGAGGAGGGCGGGCTGCACTTCGCCCTCACCAGGTGCTCTGGCCCACGCTCTGTCAGGGTCTGCTCAATGTGAACAGATTGGAAGGGTCAAGTCCCAGCCAGTGGACAAAGGGCAGGACCTGGGTGCCTCTCACTCGAGTGCACCTGCCCTTTCTTGGTGAAGGATGTCGTTCCTAGGGAGAAGACTTCACAAACACAGAGTGAGGGGACATGTTGCCAGATGTGGGGGTAGATGGGACGATGGTAAATGAAGATAGGGTTGGGGTATAGGGCAGGTCTAGGAAGTAGGAAGGGGCAAAGAGAAGGGATGGGGAAATTGGGTAGGGACCTAAGGACAAAGGGCTGCTTCCAGTCTCTCTCACTCCTTCTCTCAGTTCCGGGAAAATAAGAAACCAAAACTCCAAAAATAGAGAACTTTATTGTCAGGGTAAGTGTTTGGGACTGGGGAAGGGGAGCCAGAGCCCAGCCCCAGGAGCCTGGGGTGAGGAAGAGGCTGACATAGCACACACAGAAGGCACGCATAGGGAGGCCCCCCCTCCCTGACAGAGTCCCTACCCGGTTACCCACTAGGACCCCAGGTCTCCCTGTTTCCCTTCTAGAGAAGCACCAATGGGTGGTCTCAGCTAGAGACCCAGGTTTGGAGTAGACTTCTTCACTTCCCTTCCCCCTTTCTGCTGCCACCCCTTCTGCTCACCTGCCCATCAGCCCCCACTGGCAAGACCCAGCAGCTGGTCTAGTGTCTCGGGAACTGACAGTCACAGGCCTCTCCCAGTGGGGAGGGGGCAAGAAGGAGGATGCCACAGAGCACACCCTCCCTCAATTTGCACTCAGCCTAACCCTCTGCGCCCGGGCAAGGCAGAAGGGTCATCACCAAGGCCCCGGCCTCCCCAGATCTTTGGTCCCACCTCCCACCACTGGCTTGGGTTGGCCCCTACGGGCTGGTGAGCCCACAGGTCTGATGCAACTGCTCTGTCACTCCCATACCTCGGTCCAGATGGCCCCATGGTAGGGGTGGGGTAGGGGCCGGGGTGTGCTGAGCCGCAAGGGCTGGCCTACCTGCTTGCTGGGGTATTTGGGGGGGTTGGTGCGGTAGCTGTAGTCGGAGTACTGCTCAGAGCCCGTGGACGTGGTGTCACCAGTGCCCACAAATGTGTTTGCGGGTGGCAGGTCCTGCACCACCTGGTGCTTCTTGGAGGCCGAGGGTGACTGGGGCTGCAGCTGGATGGAAGGCAGTGGGGAGTTAGAGCGGTAGTGGCGGCCCAGGTCAGGGCTGCCCGGTGGGTAGTTGAGGGGCAGGTGGATGCGGGGGCTGTCTCCGGGGGCATCGCTCATCAGGTTGAACTTGAGGGATTTCTGCAGCCCCGCCTCGTCCTCATCTTCCACTGGCTTCACGGGCTTCGGGGACTTGCTCTTCTTGCCCTTGCTTTTGTTTCCCTTGGAGGCTTTGCTGCTGGGCTTGGGGGCATACAGGTCCTTGGTCTCCTTCTTACCGGCCTGGTAGCCACTCTTGGCCTCCCGCTGCCGGCAGTAACGCACGAGCACTGCCAGGGCGATGAGCAAGGCCACGGCCACAACACCGGCCACCACACCAAAGAGGATGTTGCCACGTTGCTTGGAGCGCTCGTATTCTGGATCCCCAGCGATGTCGATGTCCAGTGGCGTGTCCAGGCTGTGGCCCAGCAGGGTCTCCAGAAGTGTGCGGTTGGCCAGGGTCTCATTGACATAAAGGTGGACCAAGGCCGTGCCATAGCGCGGGGGCTTGCCACGGTCACTGACTTTCACCACCAGGCGGTGCAGCCCGTGGTGGCGCCGCTCAATCTCCTTCTCAAGGGTGATGGCTCCTGAGTGTGACCCAATCTGGAAGAGTCCGTAAGGGTTGCCACCAGCGATGCTGTAGGTCAACTCAGCATTGACACCGGAGTCGATGTCCTCAGCTGTCACCTGGCTGACCGTCTCACCAAGACGTGTCTGGGGGGTCAACAGCTGGTGGGAGGTGTTGGAAGGGGCGGTGATAAAGGGCGCATTGTCATTCTCATCCAGCACATTGATGGTGACGCCGACGTAAGCTGAGCGAGGTGGGACGCCACCGTCCACCGCCTTCAACTGGAAGGTATAGGTGCTCTGATGCTCCCGATCAAAGCTCAGGCTGGAGAGGATGGTGCCCGTACCATTTTGGATAACAAAGTCACCATTGTCCTGCTCCACCGTGAGCTGTACCCGGGCATTGTCCCCTTTGTCCCCATCAATGACAGTCACCATGCCCACTGGACTCAGCGCCGGCATGTTCTCCATCACTGAGAAGTTGTAGCCACTCAGCATAAACTTGGGGTCATTGTCATTGCAGTCCAGCACATTGACAAGGACGGTGGCTGTGCCCTGCAGGCTGGGGCTGCCCCGGTCAGCTGCCACCACCTTTAACTCATAGCTGTCCCGTTGTTCCCGATCAAGGGATGTCTTCACCCGGATCTCTCCAGTGTCAGGCGAGATGCTGAAGAGGCCCTTGGCGGCTGGCTCAGGATCCAGAGAGTAAACCAGCTCCGCATTAGAGCCCGAGTCGGCATCGCTGGCGGTGACTTCGGCGACCACTTCACCCGGCTTGTTGTTCTCTGGGAAGGCGACCTCAGTGACGCTCTGGGTGAAGACAGGGGCGTTGTCGTTGACATCCACCACCTGAACCTTGAGCGAGTTGGTGCTGGAGAGCGGGGGGTTGCCAGAGTCCACAGCCACGATCTCTATGGTGTAGTCTTTGACCTTCTCGTAGTCGAGTGGAGTGGTGGTCTGCAGGAAGTATTTCTTTTTGCTGTCACTTCCCGTCTCACTGGCCTGGCGTAGCTGGAAGGGCACGTCATTTGCCACCACACAGGTGACAGCTGCATTCTCCCCCTCATCTCGGTCAGATACCTGCACCAGGGCCACGGCTGTCTCCTCTGCCACGTCCTCCGAGATATTAGCCATCCCGTCTTGATGGGTCACCAACCCTATGCCCCGGATCTCAATGGTGGGGGCATTGTCGTTCATGTCCTTCACGGTCACCACCACTTGGGCACGGGCACTCTTGGGGTTGGTGCCTCGGTCCTTGGCGAGCACCGAGAAGCGCAGGGTACTTAGGTCCTCACGATCCACAGGGCCCTGCACAGTGATAAGTCCAGTGTTCCTGTCCAGTCGCAGAAGACGCCTCACCACCTCGGGCGCCTGGTGGAATGTGTAGTCGATCTCCGCGTTGGCACCTTGGTCCGAGTCATTGGCCTTCACCTGCAGGGCAGGGGAGGAAAACGGGGATGGGTTAGTCCCGGGATAGCACATCCAGGGACACGTGAGCTGCCTTTGCCATGAGCACGGCAGACAGAACTCATCTCATGCGGCACCCTTTCCAAAAGCAGCACATAGACTGCCCTTTCCCCAACGCTGACACGCGGCAGATAGTACTGATCTCTTTCCCTGAGGAGCACAGACGCAGCCTGCAGACCGTCCCCCGTGTTACAAGCAACTAGCAGAGGTGGGACGGGGCACAGTTCGACTCTGCTTACCATCCCGGTACTAGTGTGCCCAAACATGGGGATAAGGATCCAACTAGCAACTGGGGCAGCCTTTCCACCCAATTAAACTGGCCGTCAACCCTTCCGAAGGGCTGCAGAGGTGTGAGTAGTAGAAGTGGTATGTCTGCATGACATACGTGCGTTATAATATGCGTGCATGCATATACACGTGTTCTGAGACTGGGAGTATATGTTAATGTGTGAGAAGGTAGGTGTTTGTGCACGTGTGTGTTTGTGCATGAGTGGAGACCCACAGGCCCACCTGGAGGCCACAGGTGAGGGGATTTCTTTTGAAAGCAGCCAGGTAGGGATAGGGGTCAGAAGGAGCCTGCCGGGCCACTGCTTCTCTCAAACCGGGGAAACCTGTTTCAGCAGCTTCTTCTCTCCTGGCTGGCGCTGGCTAGGCACCAACTTGAGGAATCTGGGCGGCTGAGCCTGCGGCCGAGAGGGAGGGGCTGGTGCAGGCCACAGAGCCTGCTCACAGCGGGCTGGGATCCCAGCATCAAACAATGAACTGTCTGTCCCTTTGCAGTGGGCACGCCCTCCCACGCCAATGCCGACGCACACTCAGCCCAAGTCTATACAAACATGGGTGGTGATGGGGCAGCAGGAACCTGGTGGGAATGGCCATGAGGTACCGCTGGTCAGGGAGAAACAGAGGGTTGGAATCATGTCACAGTCAGGCAGAATGTGCTGGCAGTAGGGGTGGGTGTATGGGGGGAAACGGGGAGGGCAGGACAGCTATAACTTGGCAGAATCTCTGAGGAGCACCGCAGAAGAGTCCTGGGTTCAAATCCCAGCTCTACCACTTCCCAACTATGTGACCTTAGGCCAATTACTCAATCACCCCAAGCCTCAGTCTACAAATGTATAAAATGGGATAATAATAGGACCTATTTCACAGGGCTGTGGTGGGAATTAAATAATACTTGTAAAAATGCCTAACACTGCCTGGTACGTGGCAAGTGCTCCCTAAATAGCATTTATACTTCTTTTCATCCGCCCATCCACCTGTCCATCTCTGAAAATCAGTGGTAACACAGTGCTGGGCACTTCATCTAGTGGGGTCTCAAACCACTGCCAGTCTTCTCTCCTTCCTGTCGGGCACCAGGACTTTTTCAACAGTGGAGAAACCTGGGCAGGGCATCCCAGCTACCCCCGGCCCTGTTTACCCCTGTGAGAGCCAAACTCTGTTTCTTCTCGTCGCCTGCCCTGCCCCCAGTCTATCTCTCCGTCACCTACTTTTTGTTAGGATTCCCACTTCTCCCTGTCTCTAGACTGGTCACCCGGCTTCTTATCTACCTCTCCCACCATCTTACATCCCTTTGTCTCCGTGACTCTTCACTTCTGCCCTGTTGCCCTCCCAGCCTTGCTCAGCTCTTTCTGCCTCTTTCCCATTCTCCCTTTTCTGCCCCTTCCCGAGCCCCGTCTCTGCCCCACTCTCCTGCTTCGGCCCACTGGAAGGGGGTATAGCTATCACACGCACAGGCTTTGAAGCCAGACTGTTGGACGTAGCCAGAGTGGGATGGGAACACATCAGCTGCGTGAGATCGGGCAGGTTTCCAAATCTCTGTGGGCTCAGTTTCCCATCGGTGAAATGGGGATAATGCTTACCTTGTACTGTGAGGATTCCATGACATAATATACATAATGTGTTCAGAACAGTGCCTGGCACCCAGGCTGTTATTATTCACCATCTCTGACTGTCTGTCTCCCTTTTCTTCCTCAGACTCTCTTCTACATGTTCAAGTCCACCAGCCTCTAAAAAAAAGGCTAAAACTTCTCCCCATGCCCCGCTTCAGTTTAAGGACACAGAAGGAAGGGTTTCCCAGGACCATAACGGTGTACAGGGCAGGCTGAGCCCTCCTCAGCTCCCTCACTTCAAAGACAGACAGCTCCAGCCCAGGGGGAAGGAGAAAGGAGCTGGGGCTGGCAGGAGGCCAGGGCTGAGATGACAGCGGGAGATACGCCCACCTGTCTGCGGGGACGCTTTCTTTGCTCCCTCCCTGGCCCTGGCCCCACCAAGCTGCCCAGCCCCTGGGGCAGTTCCCATGCTGAGAACTTCAGCACAGGCAACCGACCCCCCACTGAGCCAAGCACCCCACACTCATGAGCACCCTGTGCCTAGGGAAGGAAGCTGGTGTACAGACAAGACATCTGAATGCAGTTTTCTAGAACTCTGCGGACTCACTTGGCTAAAATAATCTCATCGGACTGTCAGGGAGAGAGAGGCAAAGAAAGGCTCTGTCCTCTAGCTTCAGGAAAATCTCATCTGGCTAAAGGGTGCTGGTTGGGAAGATAATTCTCATCTCTGGAGAGGTTGTTCTTGTTCCAACTTGGCTCGCCTGGCTAGGGAGGAGGGTATCATTTGACTTGGGAGGGGGTTTCACTTCTCCGAAGTTTCTCCAACTTGAGTCTGCTTCGGGGAGCGGGGGGGGGGACTGCTGTTCCTGTGCTATGTCACTCTTACTAAATAGCCTTTTTTTTTTTTTAAGATTTTATTTATTTATTTGAGAGTGAGCAAGAGAGAGCATGTGAGCATGGGTGGGGAGGGTGGGCAGAGGGAGAGGGAGAAGCAGGCTCCCCGCTGAGCAGGGAGCCCGACGCGGGGCTCGGTCCCAGGACCCCGGGATCATGACCTGAGCTGAAGGCAGATGCTTAACCCACTGAGCTACCCAGGTGCCCCTGTACTAAGTAGCTTGATAGAGGAAAACAATACCACCTGCTGGGATAGGAAGGTCTCGCCAGTTGGGGGCTGGGGAGAAGAGCTCTTGCCACAGTATCCTGGCAGTTTACCCCTAAGTGAAGGGCACTCTCACCAGGTGGGGCTGAGCTCCCGTTTCTAAAGGTGGGAACCCTGACAGTTAGATGGAGGGACCTCTCACCTGGATGACTGAGTGGCCAATGGGGCTATTCTCAGACAGTTCAGCCTCGTAGGAGGGCCGCTCGAACTTGGGGGCGTTGTCATTGGTGTCAAGCACAGTGACTCGCAGCAGGGCACTGCTGGCGCGTGGGGGGCTGCCACCGTCCTGCACCTTGATGGTGAGATCATAGGAATCCCAGCGCTCCCGGTCCAGGTTGCCCATCACGATGAGCTGTGGCTGCTTCCCCTCCTGGTCCTCTGCCACCTGAAGCCCAAATAGCTCCTGGGCCTCGGGCCCGGCCTGCAGCTCATAGGATGCCACACCGTTGGGGCCAGCATCGCGGTCAGAAGCCACCGGGATGGGGAAGAGTGAGCCGATGTTGGTGTTCTCAGGGATGGGTAGCGTGATGACGGGCGAGGCGAAGTTGGGCGTGTTGTCATTGATGTCCTGTACCTCTATCTGGCCCTCTAACAGCCGGGGACTGCCATTCTGCACCAGGTCCGTAATAGACACCTCAAACTCCAGGATGCAAGGCTCACCAGGGAGCTGGTTCTGGCATTCACGGAGCCCCTCGCGGTCGATAGACGTCTCAGTGGTGAAGATGTCTCCTGTCTTGCCGTCCACCCGCAGGTATGGGGCGCCTACCTCTAGTTTGTACAGGTGGCCCACATCTGGAAAACCATAGTCAGCTGCAAGGCTCCCAATGAGGGTGTTGGGTGGCTGTTCCTCCAGCACCTTGTACACCACCCGAGTGGCATGGCCTGGGGATGCCGCCAGCAGAAGCAGCAGTGCCAGCAGCAAGGGGGACAGCAGCACCCGTTGCCCCCCGGGGCCTGGGCTGGGCCTCAGGGGCCCCATCCTGGCAGGCTCTAGAATCAGGAAGGCTGCAAGGAGGAGAGGCAAAACAGGAGGTCAGCTGGGAAGAGGAACCTGGCCCTGAGGGTTGCCCAAGCCAGGCCCGGACTCTCCCCCTGCCATCTATATGCTATCCCATGACGAGAGCTCAGCCCCAGCCCAGAACCCCGATGCCAGAACCCAGAACCCTGAGTTTCACCCACAGCTGGGTGTAGCAGCAGCGTCTGCCCCAGCTGGAGGAGCCGGTAAGGGCCTGGACCAGGTCTAGAGCAGCTCCCGCCCATGGAACGCCCTGACCCTCCTACCCCTCCCTCCTCCCTGCTCTCCAGTCTGTGCTTCGCCCAACACCTCCTTCTCACCAGCACCTTGCCTTAGTCACCCATGGTAATTACCTTGATACTGAGATACGGAGAGACAGCAAGTGGAAGGGTAAGCCCTGAAGCACCCCCCACGTACATGGTAGGAAAGAGACACAGGCACCCCTTATGTTCCCTGGACCCCACACTGAGGGCCACTCAGGATGGCTGGAGGGAGCGGAAAGACGTCTCATTTCTCTTCCTTCTGAGGTGCCAGTCAGTATATGCGTATGAGATATGACACGTCAAGTCCCTCTTTTCTGACAGTAATCACCCAGAGCACCCAATGCCCCCATCCCCATGAAGGGCCAGCTTAAACTAGGCACCCATCAAGACTTGGAAACAGCTATAGAGCTGAAGAGTAGGAGTTAGCCACCCACCTCCCCCCCAAACACATACTGCCCCCGGCTTGGTTCCCTGGCCGCCTCCTCCCTTCCTCCCGATGTTTCCACTGGGAGGAGGGGAGACACTGACAGGTGTGTGGCAAAAGAGTGTAGAGGTCAAGATTGGGGTCAGGACTGTGGTCAGGGCTGACTAGCCCTGGAATTGGCATTGGGAGCTGCCCTGGCCTGTCCTTAGCAACTGCGAGCCCAGCAGGTCTAACTGGGACAGAGCTGCCAATGCCACCACCAGCCTGTTCCTGACCACTCCCCTCCAAGCTCGGCTCCCAGTCTCTCAGTAAACATCTGGCTCCTATTTGATCCCTCTCCCCACAAACATCTGGCCCCTATTTCATACCTGGCCCCGCCCCCTTTGACGGGTCCAGTCCCATCTCTGACCTGCTTCTCCGTGCCCACCCCCCAATCCTTCCAATTGGAGCGCTGTATGCCATAGCCAACTACAAGCTGCACACTCATCACCCCAATAACCCACTTCCACCCATCTCCCCCCCACCAGCTTTGAGGCCATGCATTTGCAGACCCCAGCCAGACCTCCTACTGTCCCCGTCTTGACCCCTTCCTTCTCTCCAACCAAATCATGGCCAGCCCCTCTATTCAAATCCAAAGTCAGGCCCTGCATTTTCAGCAGAGGGCTCAGGCTCCCTCTCCTCTCCCCATCTTCCCACTTGCATCTGAAATACCTGCCCCCCCACCTGGAAATCCTACCCATCCTTGTCATAGACCACACCTACCCCACTGAAAGCAGGCTCTGGTCCCCCAGGAAGCCTTCCCAGGCCTCTCCAGCCCACGGTGACCTCTCCTTTCTCCAACTCACAGCCACTATTGTCTGCCCCAATCCCAAGGCAATGAATCACTGAGCTGCCCGGACCCCGCCCACCTGCCTGTGTTGTTCAGTCCCAGTACTGTGCACCTATGCCTGTGTTCTCTGGCTCCCCGGACGAACGCCAGACTTCCTGAAGGTAGGGCCACACTCCCTACACTCATTCCCCTGCCCCAACCCACGCATGTTCACAGAGCTGAGCACCACGCATTCAACAACTGTTTACTGTGCACTTACAATGTGCGAGGCTCTGTCCTGGGCACTGGGACACAGCAGCATACAAGATAGACTCAATCTGCTATCGTGGAGCTCACAACAGCTCAAACTCAATGACCGTTTGTCATTTCTGTCTGATTGTAATCATTTGGCACATGTAAGGAATCAGGGTGGAGAAGACATCAGACAGTCTGAGGAGAACCCCAACTGTCCATTTCCTGGGTGCTGAGCAGGAGAAAAATGGTTTAGGGCCTCAGTTTCCTTATCTGTAAAATGGGAATAACACCACCTATTTCCTAGGGAGTTTGAGATCATGTGGGCTAAATGCCTAGCACACACATGAAGTACTCAACAAATGCTCCCTTACAGCACTTACAATTGTAGTTATGTAGCTGTTATATGAGAAATCATTTGTCAATTGTCTTTCCTACAAGACTGAGCAGAGAAGAGAGCCTCTGCTTTGTTTGCTCCTACATCCTCAGGACCCTGCCCTGGACTTGGCATACAGTGGGCACTCAGTAAGAGCTCCTGAAGGACTACTTTAGCTCCCAGGTTTAGCCTATCCTGGCACTTTCTGGGTGGTCACTGCTTATTTCCTTGCCTAATTCCCTTACTCCATCAAGAACCTATTGGCGTCAAATTTAATCCTTCTCTGTTTAGGTCCGTAGTAGACTCTCGGCAAATGCTCAGTGAATGCAGACTCCTTACACAAGTCAAACACTTCACTTCCTTCACATAGCACTCCTAAACCGCACCTCCTCCCTGGTCACTCCTTGGCAGTAAAGTGCTCAATGTATATGAGACTGTTATCAGATTAGTGTGTGTGCTTGTTCCTAGTTGCAATCTAAACCTCTTTAAAGGAAGGAGGAATTTATCTAATGCTCCATATGGATCCACCCTCCAGCCACTTCCCATCTACCTGCATGGACCTGGCACAGGGCTCATCTTACTTTCAAGCTCCAACCCAAACACCCCCTGAGGACTGTCTCCAGAGAACCTCATTCCCTTCTGGGTACCTTAGCCTGCCTTGCCCCCATGGCACACACACAGTGGATCATTCGGCACACCAATGCCATGCATAAGTCTTGGCAGGGTGGGGGTTATATGGGAGTTACCCTAAACCTGACACAGAGGAGAAATAAAGCAGTGACTGCTTGCCTCACTCACTCTCCAGAACAGGGATTCCTAACCTTTTTAGATCACAGCCCCCTTCATGAATTTTAGGAAACTATGGGGCAGATTTTTCCAAGAAAAATGAATGCTCACAAATTTTGGCTATAAATTCAGAGGTCTGTGATCTGACAGAGTCAGGGTGACTTTGATTTGTAGCAGCTCAAAGAGCTAGAAGAGCTACAGATTAAGCCCATCCTTCCCCCTCTCAGGGTCAAAACCCAGGGCTCTGACCCCTCAGGCCTCCCAGGCACACAGATACTGGAAGCCCCCCTCCCCACCATACATATTCTTTTTCTGTCTCACTCATTCACCCTTAGAAGATCCCTTACCTCCAGCCAGCAGAGAAATCAGGAAAGGTATTATGGTATACAACCTCAGAGTTGGAAAGGAAACCACAGAGAAATATCCAAGGCCAGGAAGGTATGGGGAAAAGGGTGTTTCTGGGAGGTAGGAATTTAGGGGAACATGGGTTTGGAGGGGTGGCTACCCAGAGTGAAAGCAAGGGCTGAAGATGGTTTAAGGCCCATGAAGCACCTGGAACATTCCTTTAAAATGAGTATCATCTGCCCCCCCTTCCCGGAATTCTGATCCTGGGGGAGGGACCTGGAGAAACCCCCTGGCAGTAGGGTGGAGGAAACAGGATGCACTATCAGGGAAAGACTATCTCAGAGATGTACTAGGTCCCCTGGAGTTGAGAAAGAAGTGCAAATTCTGTCACCTTTGCCATCATCATCACTGCCGTTGTCATCATCATCCCAGCTAACACTCCCTGAGGTCTTAACTGCATTTACATACATTATCCCATCTAATCCTCCTCACCCTCCGAGATGGGTACTTTATTACCACACTGCCTCCCATGTACAGATGATAAAATTGAGGCTAAGAAAGAACCATGAACTGTCTCAGGTCACAGAAGTAGTAAGCTGAGTCAAGATTTGAGAAATAAGAATGCCTCTTCACATCCCAGAGTCTGGGGAAAAGGCTGGATAGGGGAGAAGGAAAACCCACAGACGTCTCAGAGGCTAGAATATGTTGGCTGAGTAGCACCCCCCAACCCCACCCCATCCCTGGGCTGCCAAACTTGCCTGGCAAGGAAAGAAAGAGAGAGGGCTTAGGGTTCAAGGCCTGAACAACCCCAAGCCTCCCCGCCTGAAGCTGTCCCCTCCCCCCACCCAGAGGCCCTGGGGATGCAGGGACAGAGTCAGAGGGGCCAGGAGCAGCAGCGAGGCAGCCCTTCCTCACCCCTGCCCCCCCATCCCTGAACTTTGCCCGGGTATGGTTTGGTTATGGAGCGTCATTAGTCCCAGGTGGCAGCTTCTGAAGCCATTAGCTCCTTATCTGTCCTTGCTGCCTTCCTGGCAAGGGTGTCCCCACCTCTGCCCAGTGACATAGGCACCCAGGACCCTGAGAAGCAGAGCTGCAGGGCAAACCGTGACTCATTCTTCTCAGGCCTGAGGACAGCAGTGAGGTATGAGGGGGCAGAGTCCAGGGAAGCCCAAGGAAACCGCCATCTGTGTCAACATTGTTAGGGGGGGCAGGGAAGATAGCAGTGAGGGTTCACCTGGATCCTTCATTTCCAGCCCACCTCAGGGACCAGGGTCCACTTTCTGCTGAATGCTGAAACACCCAGAGGCAGCCATCCGTGTCCCAGTGACCAAGTCAGCTCTGACCCCCCAGCCTTACCCCTGCACTCTTACACGGTAGCCACTGCCGCCATGGGCACAAAAACCAAGGGACAAAGCCAACCTCTGGGAGAGCAGGGTAGGGCTTAGCAGGGCTGTGTGGGGTGGAGCTGTTCAGAGGCTTCCCACAGTGAGCAAGTGCACAGCCCTCAGCTCCTCTCCCCTCTCTCTCACAACCCTCTATTAGCCTCTGCAGGGCTTCCAGGCACCTGCATTCTGGAGTCAGAATGTTGGGGTTCCAACCCTTGCTCCACCACTTCCTAGCCATGTGGCCTTGGCCAGGTGACTTCACCTTTCTGAACCTATTTCCATATGTGAAATGGAAATAACCAATTCTGCCTCTTGGAAGTTATTTGGGAGATGAGATCTGTGGCATTCAGATCTATTCTATTATGAAGGACCAGTATACATATAAAATAACTGAACAGAGCATTTTATTTCCAGCACCAGGCACACAGTAGGTGCTCCTTGGTTCAGTAAACAAACGAACCCATCTGCTGCTAGATGGGAAGACCTAGGAAGACAAGGTTGGTGTGTACCTTACCACTATACTGCATCCTCACCACCCACTACAGGCCCTGGCAGATACAGCCAGCAGGTGCTCAATACATTGTGGAAAGAATCTCACTCTGCAGCACCAGCTCTCCTTGCTCATGGTCGGGGGGCCATGGCCCCCTCCCTACCATACCAGAAGGGCCTCCTCCGTCTCCTACCCCCACCCCCAGGTCTCCTACCCCCACCCCCAGGCCCTTTCCCGGTGCTTCCACCCCTCTCCTCCCATCTCTCTCTAGCCCGGATCCCCTGACCAAGTAGCCACAGCAGCAGCCCCTCAGCCAGGAAGATGCCAGACCGGCAAGACACCCTCTTCCAGCTGAAGTCTCTCTGGGAACTGGCTTGGGGCAGACAGGGGAAACTAAAAGCTGCCAGAACTGAAAGCAGATCCCCTACTACATGACCCCTGCCTATCTCTGGAGGCCCCTCTCACTCCTCTTCTCTGATTCCGTTCCACGCCCTGGTCTAGTTGTAATTACAGATTTCAATCCTCCTAGACCAACCCATCAAGCAAGTAGCCCCCACCTCTAGGCTGTCACAAACCCCTTCTGAGCGCCCTCTTTCCCGGCAGCTACCGAAGATTGGCTCAGAGCGGGTAATGGAAGGCTCCCTCCGTCTTCCGGCACGATGTCCTGGACTCCGTCGCCGCCGGGGCAGCCCCCTGTCCACACCGCTGTGGTCAGCGGGTGCTCCCCGCACACACCCAGAGCGCGGGCGTCTCCTCCCAGAGGACGCAGCAGTGTGTGTGTGTGGGGGGGGGACGGCTGTTCCTCCACCATCCTCGGACTCGGGCGGCCCCACCCCCACTCCAGTGACACAGGGCCTCCGGGAGCTCAAGGCGAGGCGGGGGCGCGGTGAGAACGTGTCTCGGCCAGTGGGCCCCTTGCGCCCCCTGCCCCAAGGGCCGCCACGGGGAATCCCTCCTCCTCCGCATCTCGGCCCTCTGCCTAGGGTCCCCAGCAAGCGGGCGTCGGCTCCCGCCGAGCAGCGGGCGCCGGGAGGGGGCGGGGAGGGAGCCGGAGCCGGAATCACAAAGCGTGGCGAGCCAGGCCGGGTGGGGACATTCTCCTGAAACGGACCCTCTCACGGCTAGCGGAAAGGGGTCTTTGCCCCGCGCTCAATCCTCAAAGACCTCGACGCTACACCGAATATTTCCAGCTAGAAGAAACAGTAGCCAATCACTGCTGGGGAAACTGAGGCCAGAAGTCTGGGCTCCCAAGGGTAGCTGAGTCCATCTCGCCTACCAGTTCTGCTCCTGCGCGTGCCGCGATCTCCCCTCGGGCCCCCGGGCCTTGCCCGCACACCCGACTCTGGCCTGCAGCCGGCACCTGACACAAAGGGCGTCCAGGTATGAGAGGGACACAGGTGTGCGGGACCCAGGTGTGCTGGGGACCCAGGTGGCTCGCAGAACGCAGCTAAATGGCCCGAAGGGGGTCGCAAACACCGCCCCAGCCTTGCACCCTCTGCAAAGGGGCCTAGGGCCTTGAAGCCCAGGGGAGCCGGGATGGCGGGCCTGCCAGTCCAGCCTGTTCCGGGAATACCCGGCCGCCCGGCCCCAGAGTGGGGGTGGGGGAGACGCAGGCTGGGAAGCCGGTCCGGCCAGCCCCCAGGGTTCCCGCGGTGCTGATAGTCACAATAACAATGTCGTGATTAACATGAAGGGACGCTAGGGGCTCGCCGGACCTCCCCTCGGCTTCCCCGGACCGAATCTGGCCTCCGAGGGAGAGAGACTGAGTATGTGTGTTTGTGTGTATAGGCTGCAAGGTGTAATGTGACACTGTTGGTGCAAGGTGTGTGTGACACCCAGTGTTAAGATGTGTGAAGCAGTGGATTCTGTGTTTGCGCCCCGTGAGGCGCCGCTGTAGGTTCTACTTTCTGTGTTAGGGTGTGTGCCGTCAAGGCGTGTGCTGAGACACTGGGGTTGTGTTTATGTGGGTGCAGTCGAGGGGGGCAAGCGAGACCTGTGTTGTGCATCTGTGTTCTGGCCAAGGAGTGGGTAACAAAATTTATGTTAGGGTGTGTTCCTTAAAGGAATATGTACGTGCGAGGTTAGGTTTTGAGTGTTCATTTGCGAACTGTGGCCGCGACACTCGTCCATGAGGGCACGGGATTGTGTTTGTGTGCTCATGTCGCCGGATGTCACACCCGGTTGTGTTCTGTTGCTGTTATGGCCACGGGTTGTGTGTCGGTGCTGCTGAGCGTGCAGACGCTGAAGCGGATTGTGAGCTAGTGACGGTACCCCAGTGGGCGCTGGCGTGCGGGAGGTATGTCTGTGTGCACATATGTACGGATGTATGTATGCGTGTACATATGTCCGTGGTCTGGCCCTCCGGGTGCCCGCGGGGAGCCGGAAGCGCCTGGGTGATCCGAGCTGGTCGCCCAACAAGTGTGTGTGTACGTTGTGTATGAGGGTCCTTGCTTGCTTCGTCCTCGGGGAGCCCCCCCACCTCAAACTGGGGGCTGCGCGCTTCCCCCAACCACCTCCATTCGGCGCGCTCCTAGAGTCCCCTTATTCCCCGCGGCTCCAAACGCGCAGGGGTGCGGGACGCCGAGGCAGAGGTCCGGTTCAGCACCCCCTCTCCTCGCTCCGCTTCTCGCCGCGGACTTTGGAGGCCGGGATGCCCAGACCTCAACCCCCGGTCCGAGCTCCCAGCCGCCCCCACCTCAGCCCCGGCGAGCCGAGCACCGCCTGGGCCCCCGCGGCCTCGCTCGGCCGAGCGCCCCTCCCTCAGCTCCCGCCGGCTATAGCCGCTCCCGACCGGGAGCCGCCGCCGCTGCCTCCACCGCCACCGGATCCTTACCCGCCTCGGGGCAGCGCCGGCCGCCGGCCCTGCTGTCCATGAGCCGTCACCGGCCCCGGCCCGGGCTGCGGCTCCGCACGGCTCGGGCTGGCGCTGCGGTTCAGGCTCCGCGGCTCCGGCTGGCTCTGGGCACAGCAGCCCCGGCGGCTTCGCGTCCGCGCCGCGCTCCCGCTCCCCGAGTGTGTGAGGCGGCGGCGGCGGCGGCAGCGGCAGCGGCGGCGGCGGCGGAGCCAGCAGCGAGCGGAGCGCACAGCCCGGCCCGCCCCCTCCCTCCCCCTCCCTCCTGGCCCGCCTGCCCGCCTCCCTCCCGCCTCCCCGCCCTCCCCCCACCCTCCGGGCCGGGAGGTGGAGCTCGGGACCGCTCTGGTCCCTCTGGGAGGGGACCCCGAGCACCGCTCCCCAAAGCCACGACCCCCCTTCGCTGTCTCCTCACTCCCCGGGACCCGGATACACGGGCCGTCCCCCTCCCTGGGTCTTCACCTTGCACTTATCCCACCCGAGCCCCCATCTGGGACCCCTCCGGAATTCCGTTCCTAACCTCACTCAAACACCTGTCCCCTACCCTGCCTCTTGGGAAGTCGCGCCGGGGAAATGTCTTCCCCTGTGCCTTCTTCCCTGGAGGGCATCTGCTTCTCCACATCCACCTTCTTCCCGCGCAGACCCCCAGATCACCCGGTGTGGCCCTCCCTTCCCATTGCGCTCCGGGGAAGTCCACCCCTCCCCCTCTGGCCGAAGCCGCAGAGCGGTCAGCCTCGGTGGCCGCAGCAAGCCGTGGGGGTGGGGCTATGGAGGGGACCTTGGGAGGAGGAGGGTAATGGGACCCGGGGGCTCCTCCAGAATGAGGATGGGGGAAATATACAAGAGTGAGAATGAGGTGACACGCCAGAGCTCGGGCTTTTGGAGGGTCCCCCTGTCACCTGCCCTCAGGGCGGGAGGGAGCTGTGGCCCCACATATTTACCAGTGACATACACACATTCACAGACTCACACGGGTCCCTGCCCCACGAGGCCGCGCAGTGTCACGGCCTGTGTCACACGCCCTCACAGTGCCACAGGCTCCCTGTCACACTCACACTCACCGAGTCACACACGGTGTCACACGCCGTGTCTCACACGGATTCCGTTCCTTCAGCTCAGCTCTGGCTCTCTGGCGCCATCTAGAGGCCTCTGAGGAGCTTGGGAACTCCCTTTCCTGCGCTTAGGGTTTGGTACCCCAGGCTCCAAAGTGCCCCACTTCCATATGACCCCCTGCCTTTTACCACACACAGGCCCAGCCAGGGTGTCCTAGGACGGAAGAATGAGGAAGGCTATCCCTGGCAAGGCCTGGCACTGGGTTTGGAAAGGCCTATTGCGGGATGACTGGTTGCCGGGCCTCTATTCGTCATAGCCGCTGTCTCTTTCCTGTCCTCCCCCATTTTCCCATCCCTACGGCTCTTTTATTCCCTCTTTCCTTTTTCTCCCCTACCCCCCACCTCTCTGTGGAACACTCTTCAGCGTGAGGTGGGATCTCTGGCCAGCTAAGGGGGGCAAGCAAGGACTGCCCAAGATCTCTTACGGAGCAGCGCCCCCTCAGCCAGCCTCCCTTGCTGGCCTGGGCCCTGTTCTAGTCCCTCCTCCCAGCCCTCAACCCCAGGAGCCCAGGTGGGAGGCTCTGGATGGGAGATGGGGTGCGCTAGTGAAAGGAGGATCTGTCTTGTAAGTGGCTTCTCGATCTCTGTCCCCTGCAAAACTCACACTCTCCTCATCATTGAGCACAGCTCCAAGGAAGAAATCAGTGGCCCAGAGAGAAGAAATCTTCCACAGAGGAGCAGCCCAATCCTCCCCGCCCCCAGCATGTGCCCACTGCCCACTGCAGCAAACCCTCCCCAGTCCGCTTGCTTGGAGCCATTCAAAGGCTCCTCTGTTCTCATTCCTTGCTCAGGGCTGAACAAGATAGGCAGCCGCAGAGCTGGGCAGGAAATGCTAATTTCCCAGATGTTCTCCTCCATCCTCCCTGCTCCACCACCATCAAACCCAAATCCTGCACCAAGTGGTAGGAGCAGAACTGGGCCAGAGCAACACAGGGTGTGTCTACTCTTCTCCCTGCTCCCCATCTCCTCCTACCCCAGCTGCCAGGCTGGGCTCTGGGTGGGAGGTGGGCCTGAGCCTGGGGCAATGAAGATATGGGAATGGTACCGTCTCCCCCAGAAAGGAGGGCAGGCAAAGGGCAGGGACTAGGAGGAGGCATCTGAAGAGGAGAGAAGCCAGGCTCCTGGCCTCATACCAAACTGGGACCTGGTTGGCAAGTAGAGCACTGAGCACTGGGGGGCTCCCGAAACTAATGGTGCCTGAGATTCCAGCTGAGACTGTTGCCGGGGATTGGAGCCTGGGGGATGCTACGTGGGGGAGTGGTTGATATTCTTGTGGCTTTAGGTTCTTGCTATAATATGTGTGTACCTGGGATGGGCTATGGCTAAGAGGACTAGGGTGCTGTAGGGCCTGGCACTGTAACAGAAAGGGGGTTGTTTCTGATGGCAGCTCAAGTACTGTTGCAGTGCTACGATGCTGGTGTGCATAGGCTATAGCCAGAACAACAACCAGATTACTGAAGAGTCTGTCGCCAAGCCATGTGTGTGTGTACATGTGTGTGTTCATGTGTGCATTTCGAGGGGAGGGCTGTAACTGGAATGCCACTGGGCCTGGAGATATAGGTGTAAGGCTGGCACCCCTGAGAATGGCCATAGCAAAGAAGCAGTTCTCCGAAAATATGACGTAGGTAGAGCTGTAGCTGGAGCCATTGCCTGGGTCCTAGGAGATGAGAGGCTGTTGCTAGGAGCCTGTACCTGGGAGGAAGTCTGTTACCTGGGATAAGAGCAAAGCCACTGTTGTGTATACGACTGTAGCTGGGATGCTATTGGTCCCGAAGCTATAGCTGTGATGACAGCATACCAGGGATTGGCTATAGCTAAGATGCTGTTGCCCAGGCTGGTGGCTGTGCTGTTACTGTGTGCAGGATTCTAGCTGGGAGGCTATTATGCCTGCAGCCATAGCTCTGAAGCTCAAGTGTAGCTGGGAGGCCATTTCCTAGTAATATAGCTGGACCACTGTTGTGTGGGGGCTGTAGCCCAGACTCTGTTGCCTAGGAGAGGAGAAGCTGTTCCCTGGGATGCTGTTCTGGGAGGCAGCATGCAACCGGAGATGGGACTGATCTGCTGTTGAAGCTGACCTACTGTTGTGCTTGGGATGGTTCTGAGTGTCTGTTGCTGCACTGGTGGATGGCTGGGTGGGGGAAGGCAAGCGAGTTCTGCCTTGAGGTCTGGGAGATGCCAGGAGCCCGAGGCTGGGCGGGGGCTGCCGCTCTGGGGAGGCTTCAGCAGCTGCTCTGCTGTGGAGCTGGGAAGCCTGTTTTCATTACTGTTTTAACTCTTTTTTTAACCTTGTTTTTCTCTCGGCTGCACTTTCGCTCACTCATTAATTTTGGTATTTTTCTCACGGTGCCTCAGCCCCTGTCACGGCTGCCATGGCAACAGGAGGCAGTGTGCACAGCGCCAAAATATCTGATCAAAAAATAACCAAAATAAGCAAACACCAAACCGGCTGTGCTAGGGGCTATGGCCAAGAGAGAGCCCATGGCGCAGGTCCAGGAAACCCAAGGCTCCCAAGGGACCCCTTTCACTCCCCCCTCTTCTCCAGGGAAGCTTTGCTGAAGCTCCTGATAACCTGGGAGGTCCCTTCCCAAGAGACCCCCAACAACACGTTCTCCCAGGGCTCTGCGACTTCCAGTAGTCCCTCCCTACTAGGTAGCTTTGCCTGAGGTGGGAGCGTGAGGAGGGGGTGAGGGCTGGGGCTCTCTTCCCAGGAGCTGACAGTCAAGCCCCTAAGAAGTTCCCTACTTGCCCTAGCCACACACATCTACACCCACTGACCCACCCTTCTCCTCACCCCTCCTGCCTTAGGCTTCATCCACGTATCTGCTCCCAACCCCTACTTGGCCACCTCTACTTTCTTCTCTTCCTACCCCAGCATCCTGACTGGATGGATGGAGGGAGGGAGCTGCAGCCTTCAGGCCTGCTGCCCAACACCTCCGTGGAGGTGCTAGTGAGGGATTCCACAAAAGTATCTGATACTCCTGGGCCTCTGGCCACCTCTAGGTCCAGCTGCCTAAGGGTGATTCCTGAGCAGCCCTGAACACCCACACCAGTTCCATTTCTACTCCTCTTTCCTGCCTTCTGGTTTCCTGGGGGCCTACTTCTCTCAAGTGAACATGTCCCCAGAGAGAGGTAAAATGATAGGGCCTTGTGTGAAATAGGAAGGGGCAGAGGTCTTGGTATTACCCGTCTCCCTTCCTTCTTCACCCACTCATTTCCCCTCTGAGGGGGCCTTCTAGATGTCTGCAGCACTGAGAACTGGAGGAACAAGGAGCTCCTCGACTCTGCCTCAATCACATCATTGCAGTTGTATCTCTGGCCGCCCTTCTTGATGTCCTCTCCCCCAACAGTAAAAGTTTGGTTTTTCAACAGGTCTATGTCCCCACCTGGGAATAGCTAGAGCTCACCTCCTGCTCCTTACTTTCAATTCCTTTTCCCATCCACCCCCTCCTCCTCCACTCCCAGCAGTACTGGCCTTGCCCTCCCAGCAGAGCCATCCTGGGCCTGTCTCCATAGAAACTGGGTAGTCTGTGCAGTGTGGGAAGGGGAGGGGAGACAGGAACAGGGAGGAGGGACCAGACCCAGGGCCCGCCCTGTCCAAAGGGAGGGTAGGACCCTGATTTGGGGAAAAGAGAAAGGAGGTAGCAAAAGCTTGGTAGGTTCTGTCCCCAACGCAGCTTGTTCTGCTGCCTCCTGAAGAGGGGACACCCAACTGTGTTCTCCCCTGGCAAGGGAAGGGAGATTCCTCTCTCCCCAATCCCCTAAAATCCCTCTTTAATGGGAACTGCCTGATCCAGGATGCAACTCTTCCCCAGAGCCAGCACTCTCTAAGACAGGGACCATAGGATACCTTCCCTCCTTTAAGAGCTCCACACTAGCTCAAGCCTAGTGGCTCCAAGCTCTGGAGGCTGGGCAGCCCCGGGACCAGT